GCGCCCGATCGTGGTTTCTAGCCTCTCGGTTGCTTCGTTCAACTGCTTTGTGACCTCTGCTGCCTTGGCTCCCTGGAGTATTGCGTGTGTCCTGGTTATGTCATCCATGAAAGTGTTGATTGCCAGGTCGTGCATTTGTCCTGTCACTGGGTTGTGCGTGTCGTGCCAAGTCTGGTGAATGTCCCCACTCCTTTCCCCCTGCAACCATTGATCCACGTACAAGTTATACACATCATTGAATTGTCGCGGACACAATGTAAACCCCATCAGAGCCCCCTCCGTCGTTTCCGCATGCAACCAATCGTCGGCACATCGCATGCTTAGATGAGTGTTACAAATTGCTCCTAGGGCAAAAGGCTGATCCGCTTCTGTCGCATACCGCCATGCCGTCGCCTCCAATAGTCCTCTTTTCGTGCTGGCAAATGCGTTGCTGCAATCGTAGTTAGTGTGCGCGATGCTCATACCCGCCTCTCCAGCCCTCCATTGTGTAGCTTGTAGGCATAATATCGCATTTTCTCTACTTCTATGTGCGAGGCCCCCTTGAGCCCATGGGGGATGGTCAGGCTGTGGGCCCCTTTTGTGCATCCCCCAGTGCCAGGCCATACTCATGGAGTCATACGCGTGCATGATACGCTTCCCTCCTATTCCTGCTTTGCCATTATTCTTGTCCGCGTCGAAAGAAATGGACCTGTGCCAGGAAAGTGGTGTCACCTGTGTGCTCCGTATCTTCGTAAGCAACTGGTCCAAAAAACGCTGGAAAAGAAAGCCTCCTTCCTCCACTTGTCTTCTCACTGTCGTCGTACCTAGTCCCGCTTGGGCTGGTCGGTCCACGAAATATGGCGTAACCTCATTGATCGTCAACTCTGTACCGTCCAGCGGTTCTTCGGATCTGCCTAACTTCGTCCCACTCTTCCATCCCATGCGTTCCAAGATCCGTCTGCCCACCCGATATTTATGCAGTGATGTGTATTTGCTCAAGTCCTCCTCGTCCTTCCTTTTCTCCGCCGCCCTGATCCTCCTCTCTTCGATCTGTCTACTTAGCAGCTCTGGGTGCTCAAGGTGGGTAGTGGGGTCCAAGATCATCCACGTAAGTTCTACTGGGATCCCCCATTTCGGCCAAGCTCGACGTTTGGCTGCTCTTTTGCAATACTTCAACATCCATCTCTTGTCGACGAGAACTTGACCTGCGAGCTCCAAATCCTCTGGCAACGGCGATTGGTCATTGAGTCTTTGCTGTTGTTCCTGCACATATTCTGCCAAGTCAATCTCTCTGGCCCCCAATCCCCCTTCACATGGTGGTTTTCCTAGTTCCTGCACCCATTCGCTTTTTGGCCAATACGTCCGTGCAGCTGCATAATACCTCTTTTTTGGCCCCCGACCGTTTTTTTGGTATTGTATTCGCAGTCGGTGCATGGTGCTGAAATCGTTTCTTTGATGGGCTTCCCATATCTCCTGCACAAGGCGAGATCGTCTTTGCTCTTCCGCATCTCTTCGCAATTTCTTCAAGAGGGCTGACACCTCCGACAGTTCCTGCTGTGTCTGCACAAGCCCCTCCTCCCCTGCACTGTCACCATCTTCTCTCGCAACTCCCGTCGTTCTGCTAGCAGTGACATGCGCCTGGCCCGTACTTGCTCGATGGCCTCGTCGCAGTCGGCCTTGCCCTGCCTGAAGCAGGTGTCTAGGGCCTGCCTTGCCGCCTCCCCCCCAGACCTCCCACATGCCGTCGGGCGTGCTCTCGTCCTTCACCTCCTCCCATCTCCTACTTACCTTCTGCATCTCCGATTCTAGAACTTCGAAAAACTCGGGCCTTCTTTTCCCTCTCCGAAGACATTCCATGAGTTGGTCTCTATCTAGCAGGGGTGACCTTTCCTTCCGTACTGAGGCAAAGCTGTTCTTGCTAGTGATGGGCAGCACAATCCCCACTGGTATGTGGTCACGATGGCCTCGTCGCTTGATCAGCTGGAGTCGCTTTGCGGATGTCCGCAGCGCTACACATCTCTCGACTAGCTTCAATGCGCCGACAGGGATTGCAATATGATCTATTACGCTTGCCCCACCGTTAGCTGCATAGTAGGTTGGTCCGATGTCGTGGTACGTGGTGGCAATACTGAGATTCGATCCAGCACAAAATTCCCTGAAGTGTTTCCCATTTTCATTCTCCAATTGTCTGTGCTGTGGGCCCGTCGTCACTCCTCTATTGACCTCCACCATTCCGTCCGTGCCTCTATGCAATCCGAACTGGCTGTTGATGCCCCCTCCTACTACTATCGTACTTCTTGCTCCTAATCCGTCACATTGTCCCTCCATCCACTCCGTAACTTTCTTAGCAACTCGTTCGTGCTGCCTGAAGTGCGTGGGAGCGAAGTACACACTGAAGAAGCAGAAGTCTACTTCTCGCGACCAAAGCCTGATCCCCCCTACTCTGCCCTGGATCTCCCTGGGTGGGACGAATGTTTTTCGAAGGGCCGTGGTGTGGATGCTGTGATGTACCAATATTGCCACTCCGCATACCTTCGTGACGAGGTGGCCCTTTCTTGCTCCAAATCTGTACGCCCAGTGGTTGGGTAACCTCATCGTAAAAACCCCCTCGTCTCCTGCCCAGTGATGTGTACCGTTCAATAAAATTATATCCCAACCGCTAAATTCAGTACTAATGTCCTCCAGTCTCTCGCTCATACCTGCTGACTGTGGGTTGTACGTCAGGATTTTCATCTCAAATAACGAACGGTTCCGTCGGCAGTGTCTAGGGCGAGTGTGTCACTCTCACCCCCTCCCCTGGCATAGGCGAGAGAGCATCGGCCCGTGAAAGTCGCGCGCGGGTAAACTTGTGCCCTCCTGGCGGGTCGCTCGCACCTCGGGCCTTCCCACGCCGACTAAGAGGAAAGGAGGAGGAGGAGGAGGAGGAGGAGGAGGAGGAGGAGGAGGAGGACGAAAAGGAGGAGGAGGTGGAGGGGGGGGGAGGCCCCGGAGGAGGAGGAGGAGGACAAGGAAGGAGGAGGAGAGAGGACAAGGAGAGGAAGGAGAGAGATGAGAGAGAAAAGGAGGGGATGAGAAAGGGAGGAAAGGAGGGAGCTCCCTCGGAGGCCTCAGGAGCTCCTCAGATGTCGCCGGGTTTTTTCTGTCCACAAGCAGTGTATGCACGCGCGGCAACCGAGGGTTCCTTAAACGCGACCCTGGGGGGGCGCCTGTTTCCTCCTGCAGTGCGCCCTCTCCTGCCTGACCCTGAAAAAAGCCCAGGGCCCCAAGAGAGGCCCAAGGCATGCCCCAAGACGGCCCCAAGAGCACCCAAGAGCGCTCAAAAGGGCTTCAGGAGACGACTTCTCGGCCTCTCCCTAAACGCAGGCCTAGAGACACCTCTCACGCATCAACCAGCGTTGTGAACAAATCCAAGAAACTACCTTTGGGGCTCAAGAAAGGCGTGCGTAATCGAGGACCACCCTCTTTGATCGAGGTCTATCAAAGGGCTGCGGGCGTTCACAGAATGGCCCCAAGAGGGCAGCAAGGTGGTTCCAAGAGGTCTGAAAACGGCTCTCAGAGCAACGGTGCGCAAACGCATGTATGTTTGAATCGTGGCCGTCATCGGCAACATCGCCTTCGCCCTCCTCCTCCTCCTCCTCCTCCTCCTCCTCCTCCGCATCCCCCTCCTCCTCCTCCTCCTCATCCTCCACCCTTCTCCGCCTTGTCGGCCTCCCCCTCCTCCTCCGCTTCATCGGGGCTGAGCGAGAAGCTGAGCGAGAACGCCATCGATCAAGCCCGTCGCCCTCCTGCCCGCCTCCCTCCTCGGCCTGCTCCTGCCCCTCCTCCGTCGTCCTGCCCTCCCTCCCCCTCCTCCTCCTCCTCTACTCCTCCCTCCTCCGCCCCCTCCTCCTCCTCCCCCCTTCCTCCTCCCTCCTCCTCCTCCTCCTCCTCCTCCTCCCCCTCCCCCCTCCCCCTCTCCTCCCTCTCCTCCTCCTCCTCCACCTCCTCCTCCTCCTCCCCTCCTCCTGCCTCCTCCTCCTCCTCCTCCTCACCTCCTCCTCCTCCTCCTCTCCAACGACTCCTCCTCCTACCCCTTCCTCCCCCTTCCTCCTCCTCCTCCTCCTCCTCCTCCTCCTCCTCCTCCTCCACCTTCCTCCCCCCTCCTCAACCCACCTCCTCCTCCTCCTCCTCCTCCTCCTCCTCCTCCTCCTCCTCCTCCGCCCTCCCTCGCTCGACGGACCCGCAGAGGCCCACGTGCTTTTCACCCCTGGGCCTCCTCGGGCCGATCCCACGCTTCGCTCCGACGCCTTCCCAGGCCCATGTCGACGGGTCCTGGGGCACACAAATAAGCAGACACAACTAACAGGATGCACCATACGTTCCCATCGTTTCTGGCTTTCCGTCTTCCCCCCCCCACTTCCCGTAGGTGCCCATCTTTTCCGGGAAGTCGACGATTCATGGTGTCTGCGTGTTGTTGTTTTCCCCTCCTGACTTTTGCTTCACTGCCTGCTCCCCCCTCGCCCCTGACCGAGCCAAGCTCGCCTGGGCATCCCTGCCCGACGGGCTGGTGGGACTCCGCGGGGCGTCGAGGAGTTGGGCGCGGCGCGGGGGGGTGGGCGGAGTGCCCCGCCGCCCTGCAGAAGTGGCGGTCCACGCCCTGACTCCCTCCCTCGTGCTCTCTCCCTCTCTCTCTCTCTCTCTCGCTCTCTCCCTCTCTCTCTCTCACACTCTCTCTCTGGCTCTCTCTCGCTCTCCCTCTCGGTCGCTCGCTTCCAGCCTCCCACCCTGGTGTACTTCTGCCTTCCGCTCTCTCCCGCTCTCTCTCTATTTCTCTTTGTTGCGTGTGTGTGTCTCTCTCTCTCTCTCTCTCTCTCCCTCTCTCTCTGTTTCTCCCACTCTACGTTTCTATAGAGCCTTCCTTCCCACTAACATGCCTAACTCTGTGCCTCCACCTCTGAGTGACCTTCTCTCTTTCCATATATGTGTCTCACTACATCGCTTCCTCTCTCTCTCTCTGTCCTTTTCCCGAGGTCCCGTGAAACCTCAAGGTCTGCGTTGAAGGCTTGGTGGAAGGTGGAAACCTCAGCGGTCTACAGAATGACGGGGCGAGAACACATGCATAGAAAACCAAAGAAACAAGGCACAGCGGGAGATATCCAGCGTTTCGGAAGGTATCATCAGCTGAGGTGGCTGGTCAGCCAGGGGGAGCATCATTAGCGAGAGTTGTCGCCGAACCAGCACAACGATAGATACGATGATGAGCAACGAGAGACGCGGGCGTCACAACAAAACAACTGGTTCAAACCCGCTTCCAAACGATGCAGCCGAGGTGCAATTAAGACGCCATCTGGCAGCATGTGCTGGTGTGTCAGTAACTGGGCCGACTTCCTGAGAGCTGCTGCAGGAGCCGATGGGCCGCAGCGAAGAGAGATGTAACTCTATGACCATCGCCATTGTGGTAAACTTGTGTTCCGTCCCGGACCAAATCCGTTCAGAATCGGCCGCACCCCTCCCGACCAGCATCGCCCAGCAACGTCAACAGGGGGTACCACGAACGCCATGAGAAACAGACAAGCAAGTATGATGCTACACTATTCCATCGGGAACCTCGATAAACAAGGGGCGACGCTCCATAGCACAAATCCAAAACCGAGGTTCTACGCCTGAGAACTAGAGATCAAACAACAACACACCGGACCCATCGAATCCAGAACTTGTCATATTTCAACTACGCGGCTATAAAAGAAGAGGCTCTTGCCTGACGGAGCTTCGGCCGCAGCCGAGGCAAAGGAGCCTGGTTGAGGCGATGAAGGTGCCCCACGAGAGCTCAAGACTTGGCGCACTGGCCAGAAGGAGCCTTTGAGCCCCAAGTCCTTTACGAACCTAGTGCTCCTCGTAGGGTCGGGGTCAAAAGGAGAAGGCAAAAGATGTAGTGGCCCCGCGTGGCATCTCGCGCAGGCAACGACAACACAACTGGCCAAGATGAACGCGCGGGCGCTTCCCCGCGATCGGAATGTAAAAGAAACAACTGTATAAACATAAACTTTTGGCGCTGCGCGCCGATTTCTTGGATCTGCTCTGGGCACCCCTCCCTGGCGCGCGGAGCGCGCCAGGGGGGGGCGGCGCCAGAGGCGCCGCCGGGGGGGCCCAGCGGGGATCCAAGAGATCCGCGCGGAGCGCCAAAAGTTTGTGTTTGTGGCGTTTTTGCCTTTTCGGCGGAGTGGGGGACGACGCCCGCACCTCCGCCTTCTCCTCACCCGCCTCCCCTCGCTGTTTGGCGGCGCGCACACGGGGGCCGGGGGAGGGGGGAAAGCTTCTTGAGAGCAAGCCGCTTCTTAGAAGGCGGCGGCCCTGCATCCACAGACAGGGCCCGCACCTTCTGAGAAGCAGGGGTGCCTCGAAGAAGCCCTCCCCCCCGCCCCCCGCCCCCCTCTGCGCGCGGCCGACCCTGAGCCTCAGCCCTCACTCCTTAGGAGTCCGTGCGGGGCCCGGGGCCCAAATTCTCGAATACTCTCGGGCTTCCCGCGGTTTCCGTGGGGCCTGCCACGTCTTGTGGCGTGACCTGTTCGGGCCCAAGAAGGCCCTGAGGCGGGCCCAGAGGGCCCCGAGAGGCCCGCAAGACTGCCCTAGAGGGTGCCGCCTCGAGCGCGGGCGCCGGCTGCCGTGGGCCGCGGGCCGCTGAGGCGGCGACGGTCTGAGCCTGGGCACCGCTGTTTCGCGAGGACAGACCCTTCGCGCTAGGGCCAGACCCTTCGCGCTGGACTTCGGTCGGGCATGTCCTCCTACGGGCGGATTTGGGGAGAGGAAAGAATAACGCCAAAATGTTCAAACATAGTCAAAAACAGTTTTTTTAACATCGTCCCCAGACTATTTTTCTGCTATTTTTGAAGTTTCCTCCTGTAGAAGGACACGCCCGACTTAACGCTAGACAGAGCCAGTCGACACACGCACCCCCACCGCCCCCAAGTACGAAGTTGACAAGGGCAATCCTGGCCCGAGGCGCCCCCGTTCTCGACAGGAAGCTCTGGGGGTCATCTGGGCCTCACTGCAGAAGCTGGGTTCACCTTGGGCCCAGGTCACCTCCAGCAGCCTCCCGACCAAGCTGTGCATCACGGATCTGGAAGGCCGGCCCCGGCCCCAAATCCCCACAGTCATGGGGGGGGGGGGGGGGGGCAAAATCAATTCTTAACGGCCAGGGTGAACGGGGACAAAAAAGGTGCGCTAGACCAGCTTCGCCCACAGGGCTGGTGGGATACGTTTAGCTTCGTGCGTACATTTTCGTGTTGCAGGGTGCCTCGAGGAAGCCCCCAGAAGGAGCTCAGGAGGCCCTCAAAACATTACGCGAGGTACCAAAGAGGATCTCAATAGGCAAAGGACAGGTTCGCGTCGTCACGACATCGACAGTGGTTTCTGACACTGCGTGGACCCTTCCACCTTGACCCATCGCGGCTTCCCCCCCTATACCGCGGATCGCTCGGCATAGGACGATTCTGGGCCACCGGCGCCGTTCAACCTTGAACTCCCGCTCCAAGGTCGCCGCCGCGTCGACATGACGCGAACCTACTCCAGACTTCGTAATAAAAGGGAGGGGGTCTGGACCCTCCAAGACAAGCCATTTCAGACCTCCCCCGTGGGAGAACCCTCCAAAACATCGTCCCCAGACCCCCCCAGGCTCTCCAAGATAGCCTGGAAGAGACCCCCCCCGAAATCAGACCCCCTCCCTTTTATTACGAAATCTGGAGTACCATACTGGTCCAGGGCGGGATGAACACCGACCTTGAGTCGGGGACGCATCGCCGGTCGGCGATGCGCGAGTGCACCCGCGAGACCGCACGCTCTCCTGGCCGGGATGATGGCACCAGCGCCCCGACCGGTGATAAACGGGCGGCGTTGGGTACGGCAGGCTCGTGCCGCAACGAGGTCTGCGCTGGCTTCTGAGAACGCGCGGGCCGCTCAGCCTTGAACGATCGGGGCTCTCCGATCGCGAAAGCTCGCCCGATATCGCAGGGCTGGGCCTAAAAGCTGTTTCTCGTTGTGTTGTCGTTTTGTTGTTCGTTTTGCTCTGCCTGTTTTCCAGTACCTCCCTGCCAAAACGAAAAGCAAAACACAGCCGAAGTCCAGCAAAACAGCGAGTATACACACAACCCGGTGATATCGGCAGACTCCAGGTCACAGGCGGCGTTCAACCTTGAACGCCTGCGCTGATGTCGCCGCCGCGTCGACAGGACACACAAACTGCTGTGCTGTCTCGGAAGCTCAGGTGATCAGGGTACATACAAAAAGCATCAGGGAAGGCCACTAGGACACAGAACGATGAACACACTGCAGACCAACTGCAGCGATGAATTTGAGGCTTCGGTTTCGCGCGAACCGCGATCGCTGTCAAGAAGAAGGAGGAGGAGAAGCAGGAGGAGGAGGAGAAGAAGGGGGACGAGGACGAGGACGAGGAGAAGGAGGAGGAGGAGGAGGACCAGACCAAATTATACCCTTGGCGGCGGAAGGGCCCTTACGCAGCCTGCGAAAGCACAGACGAGAACGATCCGCCACCGTGCCTCTGGGCACGGAGTGGGCGTGCCCTCAGGTCTTTTGCCCAATCCCCTCTTGGCGGGGCGCACAAGGGGGCAGAGGGAGAGGCGAAGGCTTCTTAGGAGGGTGCTTCTTAGAAGGCAGCGGCCTTACATCTACAGACAGGGCCCGCACCTTCTGAGAAGCAGGGGTGCTTCTAAGACGCCTTCCCCCCACCCCCTGCCCCCCCCCTTCTGCGCGTGGCCGACCCTGAGCCTCAGCCCTCACTCCTAAGGAGTCTCCACGGGGCCTGGGGCCAAAATTTTGGAGGAAGGACGACGGTGCGCGGCGCTCAGGCGAGGGCCGCATTGAAAAGAACGACGGGCCTCTCTGCCCGCAGTCGTAGCATGTTGTACGACGAAGGTGCGCGGCGTGGGGGCGACCGCCGCATGTTTAAACAACGACTGGCTCTCCATCCCTGCAGGTGTTGGAGATCTGACGCTGAGAAGTCTCCCGCGAAACGCCCGGCCCGACATACATACGGATACGTCTGGGGGTGCGACAAGGGAAAGTTATATATATATATATATATAGGAAATGGGGTGGAGGGAGGAGGGGATGACAAAGGAGGCGGAGAACGAGGAAGAGGAAGCGAGGATGGAGGGGAAGAGAAGCACTTCGCAGACTGAGAGGGCTGTCCTGGCAGAGACTGAGGGGTCGATGCCTCCCGCCTGGACCACCTTTTCGATCCCCCAGCCCCCTGACGGGGGGCAGGGATACTGCGGTCCCGCTGCGGACGGGGAGGACTCTGCTGACGACTGGACCGGTCCGTCTACGCATCCGAGACTCGTGGCGCAACGCTTCTGGCCTTCTCTCGTCTCATCGTCGCCCTTCCTGGCATCCACTATCCTTTTTCTTTCACGGTATGCCACCATTTTGTTATGTGCCCAAGGCCATGGCGATGCGCAAAGTGAGCCTGACCGAAACAAGGAGGACGAAGATGAAGGGGCCCTGGGACACACAAATAAATACACACAAATAACCGGAGTCCCCATATTTTCCAGTATTTGGGGGGGTTTTCGTCTTCCCCCCCACTTCCCATATTTTTCCATATTTTCCTGGGAATCGACGATTAATTGTGTCTGTGTGTGTTTCTTTCCCTCCTGAGAAGAGGAGGACAGTGGGAGGGAGGGGAGAGGAGGTGGGGAGGGAGAGCTGGTGGGAGAGGACCGGAGGCAGAGGAGGCTTCCTTGGGACTCATTGGGGGCCCAGGGGGGAGACGCAACTCAGCAGTGAGTAGCCCAAAGGGCACTCACTCCTCCCCTCCTCCTCCTCCTCCTCCTCCTCCTCCTCCTCCTCCTCCTCCTCCTCCTCCTCCTCCTCCTCCTCCCCTCCTTCCCCTCAGAAGAGGGACAATCTGCGTAAGCATTAACTTTCAGAGGTTCGTGCGGATTTCTTGGCTCTGCGCTGGGCCCCCTCCTGTCGCGCGGAGCGCGCCAGGGGCGGCCCCAGAGAGGTCCAGCGCCGATCCGAGAAATCCTCGCGGAGCTGAGATAATGTGTGGTTGTGCCGATGGTTGTTCCTCCGCCGCGTCTTCCCCCTCCTCACACGGTCGGGGACTCTTGGATAGCGGTGTCGCCACGGCGGCCCTTGCGACACGCTCTGCCCTGCAAGCGGATGGCGTGTCGCTCCGCTCCACGGGGCGGAAGCTCGGAAGAGCTCGGCACGTGAACGCCTCGGGACCGCGAAGTGGACAGCGTGTCGCGCCGAGGCGGGGTGGGCAACAATCATTGGCGCGACACGCTACCACAAAATGTTCAACAATAACCGTCTGCCCAAATGTCCGCCCTGCTCCCCCAGCCGTCCTGGATGCCCTGCACGGCGTCGACCAGCAACACCGCCCCCTGGCAGGCGTTCAGCGAGCGGGACACCTCGTAGGAAAAGTCAACGTGGCCTGGGGTGTCGATGAGGTTCAAGAGATAGTCCTGCCGGGCGGAGGAGTGGGACGAGGACGACCCCGACATCCCCTCGTCGTGGAAGAATCACGACGGAGGGCTTTGGACAACTCTCGGCCTCCGCGGGCCCTTGCTGGGCCCAGGGGCTATCAGAAAACGACTCTCAGGGTGGCAGACTGCAGACTGCGGCGTGCAGCGTGGGAGCTCCGCAGATTCTCACAGCTCTGGTGACCGGTGGCGGCGGACCAGGTTGCCTTGAGGCCCTGGGCCCAAGGTTTCCCGGTGGCCCCCATTGGTCCGTAGCTTAATCGGCTCGAGTGCTCACGTGGCTCCGATCCTGCAGCGATGGTCCAAAGACGGGCCAAGACGGCCTCAGGAGTCCCGGAAGACAGCCCGAGCGGCCCCGAGGGGGTTGGGGCGCCTTGGGGGCCTCTTGGAGCCGCTTGGGGCCTCTCGAGGTCCCCGTCGTCGGCCTTCCAGGAGGGCTCTTGGGCCGCCCTGGGGCCCTGCTTGGTCCCTGCTGGGCCGTCTCGCAAGATGCACAAGGCACCCTGGAGCTACCCTCCGGGGGCCTCGGGGGGGTCGGAGGTCCGTCCTGGGAGCGCGTCGAGCCACTCCAGGGCAGCGTGAGGCACGCCCATCGGCTGCGCGCGAGGAGCGACCCTGGGCAAGAGGGACCTGCAGTGCGCAGCTTCAGGGGGGCGCGGCTGGGGGGCCAGACCCAAGCGCGCAAGCCGCTGCCATCGGACTGCGCTCAACGGCCCCGGGGGCCCCGATGAATGAGCCCGCGCCAGGCGAAGGGTCGCTCCTGCGCGCAGCCGATCCCGGTGGGGGCGAGCAGCGGCCTCTGAGCCCTTCTCGGGGCAGCCTCGGCCGGCCTGGAGAGGCAATCTCGCCTCGCTGGGCTCGGCGCGCCCCCGGGGGCGGCTCTTCGATTTCAGGCCCCCCTGGGGCCGAGCCGAAGCCGAAGCGAGGTGGACGAAGATGAAGGGGCCCTGGGACACACAAAGAAATACACACACATATCAGGATTCCCAATATTTTCCCATATTTTCTGGGTTTTCGTCCTCCCCCCCACTTCCCAGATTTTTCTCCACATGTTCCTGGGAGTCGACGATTCATTGTGTCTGTGTGATTCTTTCCCTCCTGAGTTTCGGCGGAGCGCCCCGCTCGGGGGCGCGGCCCCAGGGCGGCCGCCGGGGCCCCCGGCAGGGCGAGCTGGTCAAGGCGTCCTGCGCGCACGCGCGGGCCTCCGGCAGCGCAGGGACGGCCGCGGCGTGGGGGTGCCCTCCCCTCGCCCTCGGCAGGCAGGCACCGTGAGCACTGCGCTCCTCTCCCTCCCCTGACTTTTGTGGTAGGGGGCCACGTGCGAACCCTATACCCCTGCCCCCCACGATTTCTGAGGGGGCAGGGGTAGGGTTCGCATGTGGCCCCCTACTCGCCCTCGGCAGGCAGGCACCGTGAGCACTGCGCTCCTCTCTCTCCCCTGACTTTTGTGGTAGGGGGCCACGTGCGAACCCTATACCCCTGCCCCCCACGATTTCTGAGGGGGGTATGGGGTAGGGTTCGCATGTGGCCCCCTATGTGGAGCCATTGCGCAGCACCCCGCAGTCGCGGGTAAGAGTGAGGGGGCGGCGGGGGCGTCTGCAGTGTGCGAGGCTCTGAAGAAGCCCGCCTTATGCAACGAGCCCGTGGCAGGCGCCGATGCTTCGTTAAAGCAATGTGGGTGGATCGCGGGGTGGGTCGCGCGTGGGTCGCGGGTGGGTCGCGGGCGGGTCGCGGGTGGGTCGCGGGTGGGCCGCGGGCGGGTCGCGGGTGGGTCGCGGGTGGGTCGCGGGCTGTGTCGCGGGTGTGTCGCGGGTGTGTCGCGGTTGGGTCGCGGGAGGGTCGCGGGCCGGGTCGCGGGTGGGTTGCGGGGGGTCGCGGGGGGGTCTCGGGTGGGTCGCGGGTGGGTCGCGGGCGGGTCGCGGGGTGGGTCGTGGGTGGGTCGCGGGCTGGGTCGCGGGAGGGATGGCGCCAAGCAACAATAACAACAACAGCAATAACAACAACACCACCAAAAACAACAACAACACAACAACATCGACAACGCCAACAACAGCAGCAGCAACAACAACAGCAGCAGCAACAACAACAACAGCACCACCACCAACAACAACAACAACAGCAACAACAACAACAACAACAACAACAACAACAACAACAACAACAACAACAACAACAACACGTACAACACCAACCACAGCAACAACGCCAACAACAACGACATCACCACCAACAACAATAGCAGCAATACCACCACCAACACCAACAACACCAGCAACAGCATCAACACCACCAGCAGCAACAACAACGACAACGATAACGTCAACAACAGCAGCAGCAAGAACAACAGCATAGGCAACAACAGCAGCAACAACAACACATACAACACCAACCACAACGACAACAACAACAACAACAACAACAACAGCAGCAGCAACAACAACAACAACAACAGCAGCAGCAGCACCACCAACAACAACGACACCACCACCACCAACAATAACAACAGCAGCAATAACACCACCAACAGCAACAACGCCATCAACAACACCATCACCAACAACACACACAAATAAGCAAACAAACAAACAGCAACAACAATAATCCGCATCGCGGAACCATTCTTCAGCCACGAACCCAGGGGCAGTGAATGACCGTTCTGCCCCGTCGCTCTCAGTTGTATGTTCTTGTTGTCCGTGCCATTTGTGGGAGGCGGGGGGGAGCCGACACGGCAGCGCGATGACAAGCTCGGCGGCGCAGGCGTGAAGCCACTGAAGTACCTCCAGTGGCGTGCACGCGAACGGCGCTGAAGAGTCGAGCCTATCTCCCAGGACTCTTGTCTGGAAGCTATCCCGCCCTCTCCACGTGCAGCCATGCATGCCACGCACAACATGTGGGGAGCGTGTTTGTTTTCTCTCTCGTCCGTATGAGCGCACAAATCCGACTGCATCTGGTGTCTGAAGATGGCACTAACGCTGCAGCGTGGGCCTCATGTTCGGATCGGCGCTGTGCTCCCGTCGTTCGGGACGGCGCTCTCGCCCCAACGCAGAAGCCCACTTATCTGGTTCCGACTCCTTTTTGATCGTTGTCGCCGCCCTCGATTCCCTCCTCCGACTTCCCCTGGTGCCCTCCTGCTTCTCTCACTCCTTCCGCTCCAGCTCCTGCTGCTGCTGCTGCTGCTGTTCGACTTCGTCCTCCTCCTTCCTCATCCTCCTCATGTTTCTCTTGCTCATCCTCCTGCTCACCCACCGCCTCCTCCTCCTTCGCCTCCTCCTCGTCCTTCGCCTCCTCCTCCTCCTCCTCCTCCTCCTCCTCCTCTCCGTCCTCCTCCTCCTCCTCCTCCTCCTCCTGCCCTCCTTCTCCTCTTCCTCCTCCTCCTCCTCCTCCTCCTCCTCCTCCTGCTCCTCCTCCTCCTCCTCTCCCCCCTACATGTGTACGCAGCTCCCCCTTTCCGATTGCGCATAACACGAAGGGGTCGTGTTGTGGAGTTTCAGGTCGGCTGTGACACGCGTCCGCGGACAAAAAGCAACATCAGCGCTGTCGGAAGGGATGGAAGGAAGGCATCGGATGTCAGATATGGCGCGAGCGCACCCAGCTTGCCAACTCCCCTCTCGCTCCAGGAGGAGGAAGAGGAAGAGAAGGAGGATGAGGAGGGGGAGGAGGAGGAAGAAGAGGAAGAGGATGAGGAGTAGAAGGAGGAGGAGGAGGAGCAGGAAGGTGGAAGAGGAGGAGGAGGAGGAGGAGGAGGAGGAGTTTCACCCTCTCTGCACATGCCCCCTCTTCTGGAGAGGATGATGCTGATGATGATGATGATGATGATGATGATGATGATGATGATGATGATGATGATGATGATGATGATGATGATGACGGGAGGAAGAGAGGAAGGGAGACAGGGGGGAGCAAGGGGTGCGGGAGAGGAAGGGAAGAGGAGCAAGGGCGGGAGGAAGGGGGAAGGGAGGTGATGAGGGAGGGGGGAGGGGGAGGGGAGAAGGCTTTCCCCCCCCCCTCTCCCCCTCCCTTCCTCCCTCCCCCTTCCGCCCCGGGGGACGGCCGAGAGGCGCCCCCCCGGGGCGCCGCGCAGCGGCTCTCCTGACCGTCGCGCTGCGACCGGAAGAGCATCGAGCACGTCTGGGCCTCGGGGGCCGCCGCGGGGCCTCTCTCCGGGTCTCGGGTGGGCCCGCGGCCGTTCTCCTCCCTCTCCTCCTGCCTCCTGCCTCCTGTCCCAGCCTCCTCCTCCCCCGCTCCTTCCTCCGTCCCTCCTCCTCCTCCTCCTCCTCCTCCTCCTCCTGCTGCCTACTGTCCCAGCATCCTCCTCCACCTCCTCGCCCTTCTCCTCCTCCTGCTCCTCCTCCTCTTCCTCCTCCTCCTCCTCCTCCTCCTTCTCATCCTTCTCCTGTCCCAGCCTTCTCCTGCCTCCTCCTGCGTTCTCGGGCCGCCTCCTGGAGGCAGGAGCACGCAGCAATGGAGTTCAGTGAAGTGCAGTGGTGTCCATGGGAGTCCGGCTTGGGTCTTCCAACGGGGTCCGAAGGAGTTTTATGAGCACTTCGATGGGGTCCTACGAAGTTCAACGGATTGCAATGGTGCCCAATGGGATATTATGAACTCCTGCGGGGACAACTGGGGTCGACTGTAGTCCGATGGAGCCCTTGTCTCCGATGGGGCCCAACGTAGTCCACAATGAATTGCAATGGTGGCCAATGGGGTCGAATGGAGTTCCACGGAGCTCTATGGGGCCCACTGAAATTATGGTACCCAATTACAATCAACATGGGAATGTCATTGGAGTCCAATGTGGTCACATGGGTATCACGTCCAATCGATTGCGACATTGTCCACTGGAGTCTACTGAGGTCAAAAAGAGGCCGATAGGGTCGAATGTATTCCAATAGCGTCTAATAGTCCAATGGAGTCCATTAGAGGCCAATGGCGTCCAATGCTACTCTGGTGGCCAACAGGATCTGATGAAATAAAATGAGGTTCTATGGAGTCCACTGGATTACGATAGCGTCCAATGGAGCTCGGTGTGGGTATCACAATGGAGTCCAAGGTGTTCTACTGGGTATACAATCCAATGGATCGCAATGGTGTCCGCCATCCAGTCCACTGGAGTCCTAGTAGGGAGACCAACACGAGTCGAATGGAGTCCAATGGGGTCCACGGGGCCAATGGAGGCACCTAGCCCAATGAAGTCCAACGGAGGCGAATAGCGTCCAATGGGTCCCAATGGAGTCCTACGGAGACCGATGGAATCTTTCCAGTCCGCTCAACTCTGTGGAGCCAGAGCGGTAGATCTGCCACCGTGCTCCCTGGCACGTTGAAGCGTGGAAGAATGCCAAGGTCTGCCTGGTAGGGTTCTCTGAGTTCTACTACAGCCAGCCAATACAATAAGGACGCGCGATGAGGATGCAAGGGCCTCGGACGGCCATGCCAACATTTTGCGAGAGAAACGCGGCCAACGAAAGCGGCCAATGATGGGCCGACGGGGAAGGATGCAAGGGTCACCTTGGAAAGTGAATCATCCGTACTATGGGGGTTGACTGGAAAAGGGCCTCCCCCTTCCCCACCGCAGACTCCTGCGTGCATCGCGCCTACTTCCCGAGACCACTTCTCTCGTGCCCGCTCTCAGGATGGTGCACCTCCAGCATGGCAGCTAATGCCTAAACCCCATGCCACGCGTGCCCGCTCGACGATGATGCACTTCCCGCATGGCACCTAATGTCTGCACCCCCCTTGCAACGCGTGCCCGCTTGATAATTGGTGCACTTCGCGCATGGCAGCTGATGCGTGAAGCCCTCAATCCGTGCACCCCCGCTCGAAGATTGTGCACTTCCCGCATGGCTGCTAACACCTAGACCCTTTATACCACGCGCATCCGCTCGAGGACCGTGCACTTCCCGCATTCCCAAGCGCTGCTCCCAAACGCTCGAGAGCCTCCCACGCCTCGTTAAACTATGTGGCCCGAGATTCCAAAACGGCCCTTGCAGGTAACCAAAGACACTAAGATGGCCCAAGGTGCCTCGAAGACGGCCCAAGCTTGCCCCGAAGCGGCCGACTATTGATCCAAGACGGCCCAAGATGCCTCCCAAAGGGCCCCAAAGGGCCACAAGATGAACTCACGCAGGGCCAGAAGAACCTAAACGCATTGATCTCTCTTGGGTGTGTGCGTGAGTTTCGCATTCTGCCCTTTTCGGGCTGACGTCAGCTGACGACGGGCCAGGAGGACTTCTCCACACTGGCCCAAGAGGCATCCCAAACGGCCCCAAGACGGCCCAAGAGGGTCTCCCGTGGGACCCAGGATGGCCTCAGAGGACCCAAGACGGCCCAAGATGGCACCCAGAGGGACCCCCAGACACCCGCCATACAGCCAAGATGGCCCAACGACGGCCCAAGAGAGCCCCAAACTGGCGTAACAGGGCCCACAGCCGACCGAGGGCCTCAAGGGACCCCCAAGACTGCCTCACAGGAGGCCAAGGCAGCCGCAAGGCGGCCCAAACGAGTTGCCTCCTCCTCCTCCTCTTCCTCCTCCCCCTCCTCCTCCTCTCTTGCAGCTCCTCCTCCTCCTGCTCCTCCTCCTCCTCCTCCTCATCCTCCTCTCCCTCCTCGTCAGTACCATCATCATCATCCTCATCATCATCATCATCATCATCATCATCATCATCATCATCATCATCATCGTCGTCATCATCATCATCATCATCATCATCATCATCACCATCATCACCATCATCATCATCATCAACATCATCATCATCAGTATCATCACCACCATCATCACCAGCATCATCATCATCCTCATCCTCATGATCATCACAATAATCAGCAGCAGCAGCATCAGCAACATCATCAACACCCTCATCATCATCAGCATCACGGCCACCATCATCAATATCATGATCATCAGCATCCTCCTCCTCATCATCATCAGCAGCACCATCGTCATCAGCATCAGCATCACCATCATCATCATCATCATCATCATCATCATCATCATCATCATATGCATCGTCATCTTCATCTTCCTCATCGTCTTCACCATCATCGTCACCATCGTCCCCATCATCATCATTCTCATCGTCAGAAACATCATCACCACCAGAAGCAGCATATTCAACAGCATCATACTCATCATCATCACCGCCACAGCCATCATTATCATCATCAGTGTCAGCATGGTCATCATCTTCATCGTCATCATTACCATCATCATGAGCATCATCCTCATCGTCGTCGTCATCATAATCATCATCACCACCACCACCATCATCATCATCAGCATCATCAACATCATCATCACTATCACCAACATCATCACCACCACCATCACGACCCCCATCATCACCATGATGATCATCATCATCATCATCGTCGTCGTCGTCGTCATCATCGTCATCATCGTCATCATCGTCCTCTTCCGCATCCTCATTCTCGTCCTCCTCACCATCATCATCAGCATCATCATCATCACCATCATCATCATGAATATCGTCATCATCATCATCACCATCAGCATCACCGTCATCATCATCATCATCATCATCATCGTCATCATCATCATCATCATCATCATCATCATCATCATCATCATCGCCATCATCAGCAACATCATCATCATCAAAATCATCATCAGCAGCGGCAGCAGCAGCACCACCATCAGCACAATCGTCATCATCCCCATCATCCTCATAATCTTCGTCACGGCTCTCCCAAGCCTGGAGACACGAGGTGTCACACAACACGGCCGCCATTGCCTTCAGTGCCCCCTCCCGGTGCCACACGTGACGGCATCCCAGAATGCTGGGCTGGCACGGTGGCGGGACCTGCCGCAGGCAGCCGGACATGTTCGACAGTGTTGGCCCTTTGCACCCAAGAGGCTTCCGATGGTCCCCCCTGCGGACCCTCCGGAGACCCGCCCGTTCTCAGACCTCCGACGCTGTCCTCTCTTCGATTGGTGCTCCCCGACCTCGGCCTCCCCACTCCCTTGGGCCGCGGAGCCAGCAGAAGACGACCCGGCATTTTAGGAACCCGTCCACGGCAAGCGCTTGACATATCCAGCCTCCTCCTCTGCGCAGCAGCCTGAGGCGGACCGGAAATGAACCCGTGAGCCCCCCGCACAGGAGGGCCTCGCGGGACGACCGTCCCTGGACCCCTGGGGTCTCCTCCTCCTCTTCCGCTACCCCCTCCTCCTCCTCTTCCGCTACCCCCTCCTCATCCTTCTCCTCCTCCTCCTCCTCCTCCTCCTCCTCCTCCTCCTCCTCCTCCTCCTCCCCTTCCTCCTCCTGCCTTTGTCTTGCTCCCCTCCCAGAGGATGGAGGGACACGCGACTGCACGGCGCTGGGCGCCCCTCCCCATGGCGCGCGCAGCGCGCCATGGTGCGGCGCGGCTCTGAGCGCCGCCAGGGGGGGGGGGGGGTGCCGGGCCGACCCAGGAAACCCTGGGCCTGCGGCCCTGCGACTCACACGCCCCTGTACTTATCCTCCCTCCCTCCTCCTCCTCCTACCCCTCCACTCCCCTTTTCCTCCTCCCTCACCCCTCTTCCTCCCTCCTCCTCCTCCCTCATCCTCCTCCCTCCCTTCCTATCCTCCTCCTCCTCCTTCTCCTTCCTCCTCCTCTTTCTCTCCCCTTTCTCCACCTCCTCATTTTCTCCCTCCTCCTCCTCCTCCTCCTCCACCTCCTCCTCCTCCTCCTCCTCTTCTCCTCTTTTACGAAGGTGCCTTCTCGGCGGCGCTGGCGGATGATGCCTTTCGAGTTGATGGCGTGTCGCTCCGCTCCGCAGGGCGGGAGGCTGCTGAGAGGCGCGGGACGCTAGTCAAAAAGCATTCCAAAGAGATTCAGAAATGGTCGAAAAATCGTCAACATAATTTTTTTAAAACTATTTTTGACCCTGCCTCCTGTAGAGGGACACGCCCGACTTAACGCTGGGCTCGGGGACGTTGAATGTGGGTAGCGTGTCGCGTCGAAGCGAGGTGGGCCAGAACTGGCGGGGCGACACGCCAAGCCAAAGCTCCCGACCGCAATCGCCGCCACCACCATGCTCCTCCTCGCCCTCCTGCACCTCCTCCCCTTCGCCTCCTCCGCCTCCTCCGCGTCGGCCCGGCGGGCGGTCGCCTTCACCGTGATCCCGCGCTGCCTCTCGACCTCGAGGCCATCCAGGAACTGGTCCGGGGCGCTCTCGGGAATCACGCCGCAGGCCTGCGGATGGAGGGGACAACCACCGCCGATGCGCCCTCCCTCCTCCCGCAGCTCTCCTTCCTCCCACATCTTGGGAGGCAGCGTCTGTGATGTCTTCGACAGAACAATCAGTAACTATAAGGCCAGACTTAGGGGGCATTGAGCCGGACGAGGCCGGACTGAGCCCAAGACTAGGCCAGACTCAAGGAGATGACATCAAATGAAGCAGGATCACAACAGGTCCAACGGGATTCAGCCAGATGAGACGGATTGTCGACCAGGAATATACAAGCGCCGATTCTGAATGCAACCTCCCAGGAGTCGCATCCTGATTCCTCCGTCCCATCCTACTCTGGGGGCCCAAAGAATACACACCACCACCACGTCGATCCGATTCCTCCTCTCTCCTCTTTCCAGCGAGAAGGAGGGGGGGAGGGAGGTGGTGGTCGTGTATATTTCTGGGCCCCCATCCTTCCCTACTGCCTCCTCGGCACGGCCAGGAGCTCCTGCCCAGCGTGTCGCGGCGGCGGCCCGGGCGACACGCCGTGCCCTGCAAGCCGACGGCGTGCCGCTCCGTGCTCCGCGGGGCGGGGAGACCGGCAAGCGCGGGAGCATGACGCTCGGGAGCCAAGGGCGCGGGCAGAGTGCCGCGCCGAAGCGAGGTGGGCCAGGATCGGCGGACCAGCATGCTCAGCCAACGTTCCTGGCCATAGGATTCGGCGGAGCAGCATGCTCAGCCAACGTTCCTGGCCATCGTGTCCTCCTCTCGACGGCGCGCCTGGGTGGGGGAAGGCCGAGGGGGCGGGCCTTAGCGGAGGGCACAGGAGGCCTCTGGCCTTCCGGGCAGCTTCCGGAGCTCTCTCCGACGCAGGACGCTGCTTCTCAGAAGGCCAGACGGCTTCTCAAGCGCCCCGCCGCCGCCTTCTGAGCAAGCCTGCACGCTCTCGGGCGCCCCGCGGCTTTAGGGCTAGGTCG